TTCTCTCCTCATCTAATGAAGAACAAAGCTGGTAGTGTGTGTTTCTTAGTACCTGCTACAGAAAGCATCTCAACATAGTCACTGACATACAGACTGCCTTCACCTTTTTTCTTTCCTTTCTATCCCTACAGAAATTTTCAGAACCCAGTGAGCTGATGTGAACCATCCTTCTGAGCATAAGCATGTGAGAGGCAGACCTGGCAAAGGGAAATCTCTACTTTGGTCATTATCATGAGGAACCCTCCATAGTCAATGGCTAAACATGTTGAAGAGAGGAGCCTACAAGAATGGGAGATTCTAGTCTCTCATAGTGCTTTTCTTTCTCACAGTTTCCATCTGTGTTTATGTGTGTTACAGACATGTGCATGTAAGTGCACATTCCTGTGAGTGCATGTGTGGAGGCCATGAGGACATCAGGTATCTTCCTTTATTGTGTATCTTCCTCAATAGATTTCTACCTTATTCTCTTGAGAGAACCTGAAGCTCATTGTTTTTTTGCTAGGCTAGCAGCCAGCAAGTCCCAGCAATCCTTCTACCTGTTCTCCACCCCAGGCACTAAGATTACAGGGATTACAGGGATGTACAACCCTGCCCAGCTTTGTATGTGGGTGCTGGAGATTTGAATACAGGTCCTGATGCTTGTACAAATAATTACTTTTATTCATTGAGCCGTGTCCCCAGGCCCTATTTGTTCTTTTTGAACCCTTCAGGTTAGAACATTTCCAAATGAAGCCTGCTATCCTGTGGGTTTAGGAACTCTTAGCTAGATTAGATTGCCTAAATGCGAATGTGAAAGGTGGGGTTTACTGGCCTTGAGAGATCCAAAGCAAGTGGTTCCCTCCTGGTTCAGAGAAGGATCTTTGGGGGCTCCCTCAGGTGGCCAATGCGGGAACTGCTGGCTTTCTTTTTGAAGGTCCTCAAGTCTTAGCACACTTTTGGCTACCTTCCCTGGAATAAGAAAGGAATAGAAAGCCCCTGGGCTCTGAGGAGTAAGGAAGTCTATATGGGATGGTGGGGAGTTGGGCCAATGGCTATTATACGATTGAGGACATAATTAGATGGGCACACAGGAAGAAATTATGCTGGAGATAGAGTTTGAAAGAATCGGCTGCTGCTGCTTCTCCCACCCCACGGAGAGCAGTATGATAGGCGCAGGAGAATGCTGCTGAGGAACTGCATGCAAGTTGGCATAAGCTACACTCCTGGGGATTGAAGATGGGAGTTGGGAGGGAAAGAGGATCGGTATACGCCTTCTCACAGCATACCTGGAACCTCTGAATGGCAGGAGGTTGCTGCTGTCCTTTGCACGGGTTCCATGACTTCCATTTTGGAGTCATGGATCCCATAGTTGAATAGCTAGTTCAGAGACTTGCAGACAGGGGTGCCTACTGTCTCTTAGTTTCTGTCTCTTGGATCTCTCTCCAAAGCAGGTTTCCCCACAGCTGCTGAGCCCCAGTTCCCTGGCTTGTAATTTATTAGGTCCCAGTCTTGTCTGACATGCTGCTGAAAGACACATGTCGAAGGGCTAACTTATGGTGCTCAAGAGGCTGCAGACCCCACACACATATGCTGGGACTTCTGCACATATGCTGGGTTCTGCACTGCCCTAGCCTGGCTGGCCATTCCTTTTTGTGGTTGCTGTTGTTCCTCTAGGATGCCAAGTCAGGAAAGATGGTCACCTGTGCTTACTGGACCCCCACTCTGTGCTGGCAGGGAAAACTGGTTGGCTCTGCCCCTCAAAGAACTTCTGGCCTGGCGGAAGTAAGAGAAAGTAAAGGTAGGGAATACTTGAAATGAGGTAAAGGTCAAGAGCCACAGGCTAGGGAAACAGAAAGGAGACAGAGAAAGCTAGGATCCTGGGAAGGAAAGAACTGGTCACTCTAGACCTGCACACAGAGCCTGCAAATACACCATCAGCAAGAAGGACAACCCGAGGAAGTGTGTGGATGGCAGACAGGCCATGAGTCAGAGTCAAGGCGCAGCTGTGCTGGAATACAGCACATGCTAGCCTGGTGGGAGACGTGGAAAGAGAGGCTGTGAGAACACAGAAACCTGCTAAAGTACTGCTGGTAGTTAAGCGGAAGCTAGCATTGTTTTAGGTCTGACAGCAAGTGTAGAGACTGGGCTGGAAGAAGGATCGATCACTCAGCTGTTACAGCACACTTGACGGTCCAGGAAGAACTAGGTCAGCAACCACAGAGAAGGGAAGAAGGGCTGAAATGGGAGCTCACCCCAACAGACATACCGGGATCAAACTGCCTTCCTCTGGCCCCGTTTCTCCAGAGAGCAAGAATCACGCGGGAGAGGCAGAGGCTAAGCTCCATGCTCTAGGCAGCCACTGGAGGCCTTCAGTCATCAGGAGTGGAACAGGTGGGGTAGCCCCTAGGCCTTGGGCCTGTGATGAAAGCAAGTTGTGTCTTGTAGTGGCTGCAGAGAGGTTCTAGCTGCACTCAATGATCGGGGGGAGGCTACTTTAGTGGTTGAAACCATCAGCAGGGCTTGTGGACATAGTGCCAAGCCTGAGGCTGAAATTTCTTGGCACTTGTACTTCTTCCAAATGGGAATAGAGGGTGAATAGGTCTGAGTGAGGAATGCAGGGAGAGTGGTCAGCTGGGTCTGTCTGGAGGACATGCATGCATATATGTTTGTGCATCATATGCATACTTGGTGCCTATATAAGTCAGAAAAGGTATTGGACCCCAGGAACTAGAGCTACAGACAGCTTGTGAGTCTCCCTATGGGTACTGGAAACTGAACTGGGTCCTATATAAGAGCAACACATGCTCTTTACCACTGGGCCATATTCTTAGTCCCACTTTTTCCTTTTTGGAATTTTTAAGTTTTCTGTTATATACTAGTTGGGTGGCCCTGCTACAATGCCAGACAGGCAGATCTATGCCTGCTGTACTTACTGCAGGAACTTGGAGCAGCACCCAGTCAAAGTGTGTGGACAGCACAAGTGAACAAAAGCCATAGCTTGAGTCTTGACTATCTCCTACAGAATGATGTGTTGAAGGCTTGGACTCCATCTTCTGCTGCAACTGGGAAGTGGTGGATCCATTAACAGGTGTGGCCTACTGGGAGGAAGTTAGGCCTTTGAAGCATGAGCTTGAATGGGATAGGGCACCGCCGCCCCAAAAGCAACAGAGCCAACCTACCACAGAGTAAGTTCTTTAAAACAGTTCCCGTTTTCAAGTCGTTTTTGTCAGGTATTTGGTCACAGGGACAGAAGGAAGAATGCATTGGACAACTGAGTTTGACAAGGGACATCTTTGGTCTAACAGCTGTTAACATTTTGAGGGAGTTTTAAGGCATTGGTGTTGTCTGTTGGCTAGGTCTAGTAGCTTCTCATCTAACAGTTCTGAGAAATTCCTAAGCTTTGTTCCCATCTAAGGTGATTCTTTCCTTTCTGTGCTAAATTCTGATTTCTTTCAAAGTACATCCATTAAATGTTCAGTTCTAACTCATGTGGAGCAGTCAGGAGGATTTTCTTGATCTTTGCCCTCTACTGAGTAAATCCTTAATTGTATGAACCACCACAGGTATCCAGACCTACAGAATAAAGGTTATTCCCTGCCTTCCTCTTTAGCCTGACCAATGTCCTACTGATTCCCAAAGTAGCCTTCCACTTGTGTCCTCTACTGAACTGAAGCTACACCAGTAAGTGCAACATACACTATTATTTCATATACGATTAAGAAATACAACACTCTGCTCAAAGTGGTTGGCTATGAGACTGATCTCTTTAGTCTGAAATGCCATTTGGTGGGTCTGCATCAGTGATTATTTCTCCCTCCTTCAAGTCCAACCTCAGTGCATCACCTGTTCTGCAGAAAGCATGTCACTTCACATTGTCCTACATAAGTACATAAAATGCATCAATTTTTATTATACTTCAGGATATTATGAATGCAACTCCATTACTGTAAGCCTCATGAGTAAAGATGGGATCTTATTTACATTTATATCTGAATGCCTTGGCAGCTCAGCATGGTCTCTTCCCAGGCAGAGCTAATAAGCCAGCAACACAAACTGTATGGCTTTTATACCTTTATTATAGTTTCCCCCAATTGCCTTCCTACCCTTAAACAGTGATGAAGAACTTAGAAGTCTTCAAGAGCCAGGTGGTGGTGGTGGCGCACGCCTTTAATCCCAGCACTTAGGAGGCAGAGGCAGATTAGTTCGAGGCCAACCTTGTCTACAGAGTTGAGTTCTAGGACAGGCTCCAAAGCTACACAGAGAACCCCTCTCTTGAAAAACCAACCAACCAACCAACCAACCAAACAAACAAACAAAAGTTCTTCAGGAATACATTTTAATGAGTTCAGAAAACAAGAACATACTGTATTATTAGATGCGCTGTACTCTTTGGAAGATGGCCTGATATGTTCTGTGAGGTGAGCTGCAATGATGTCTGTAGGCCATTCTACACATCTCATGAAGGAGTTTCTTGTAGTGATATTTCATTTGTATTTTAATAAATAAAGCTTGCCAGAAGGCCAGAAAAACAAAACATCCAGCCACTGGCTCTTCCCTCTCCCTCAGTCTGAAATGGCGATCCTGCCTCCAGGAATCTCAGAATGAGACTGTGACTGAGAGCTGTCTCCTTCCGTCTTATATTCCTCTCTAGGGCTGGGATTAAAGGCATGTGCCACTACCACTCGGTTTCTATTGTAAACTAGTGTGGCTACTGGGATTAAAGGTTGCTGTGTAAGGCTGACCAGTGCAGCTGTTTTACTCTCTGAACTTCAGGCAAGCTTTATTTATTAAAATACAAATGAAATATCACTACAGTTTCTACTCAAACATTCTGGAGATGAAGAAGGCCACTCTCTCCAGCTTTTTACCAACCATGTTATTAGGAGCTGACCAACTACCATAGCACACAATGTACTCATCCCACTGACTACTAAAGACTGCTAACGCTTTCTGTGGACGGGGAGAAATGTTTTATGGTAAAACAAGGCAGGCAGACACTGTAATCATTTTTGAAAGAAACCCTGACATCATGCACAGCAGCGAATGGATTTATCCTTAGGGATTGGGGGTTGGGGTTACACTCATCAACACTTCTAACTATTCTACTAGGATCATATGAAATGTATGTCTAAGTCTTACTCTGTGTCAACAATTCTGGTTTTTCTTCAGTTTTTAAGACCTCGATCAAAGTCTTGTGGTTTTCACTTTATGTTGGCATACTCAGGGTTACCTTTCTGATAATGAACACAGAAGAGAGAAGTAGGGGGAGGGAGAGAGAAAGACCAAAACAGTAGATTATGCATCTGCCTGCTTTAGGAAGTTCAGTGCTACCCTGGAAGAGACATCTGCTCTTGTCACCAGCCAAGAGGCACATAGCTCAGAAGAAACTCAATTAAGGATATGGGCTCATCAGAACAGAGAGGAAAAAATTATTGGGGAGGGCTCTGGGGCATATCACTTGTTCTTCCGCAGGTGGTGAAAACTCTGCACAGTTCTTTCCACGGCGTCATCCATGGTGACCAGTGGCCGGTATCCAATGAGCTTTTTGGCTTTCTCACAACTGTAGTAGTGGAATGTGCCAGCCAATGCCACCCGCATTGGTGTAAAAGTTGGCTGGATTTGGATGAGAGGACTGACCACCAGTACCAGCAGAGATAGCAGGAAAGCAAGGTAGTAGGCCACCCAGTAGGGGATGTGGTACTTGGGGGCCTCATAATTGAGGCCTGTCAGAATGCGGGACAGGAACGTCCAGAAAGGAATTGGTTCATCGTTGGTTATGTGAAATGCCTGGTAAAGAAACACGAAGTTAGAGAGCCCTGCACAGCTGCTGGGGTGAGCAGGCCACACATGGGTCTCTAAGCTCAACTAGCTGCTGGCTCCACTTGCAACTGTTACTGTGGGAAAGCAGAGGCACACTGTCCTTCCTGTCCTGTCTGTCTCTCTGGCAAGGCACCATGTGTGTTATCAGGTCTTACATGCCTAGCTGCTGCAGAATGGACCGTGTAAAGGGCAGAGAGTGAAGGTGATAACAAAATCTACAAAGAGGCCAGGACTAAAAGTGAAGTTTAGCTTGCACTCAGGAAGTTACAATTGGTAATTATAGCCCATGGTAAAACTCAGTTTTATCTCTACATGTAACAAATGGCCAATATTAAATCTTTCAGACATATTGTTTGTTCTAAACCACATGTTATAAGTGGGAAAATAGAAAAGGTTCACAGGGAAGAAAAGAGTACTCAGAGATAACAGTGAAAAACAAGGAAGATAATGAGCCTGAGAAATAGCAGGCAAGGTGGGGTAACAGAGTAGGCCCTCTCAAGTCTGATTACTTCTGAATGACTACATATAGATCACTAGTTAGGAGTGCAGGAGTGTCAGGTCTGAACAATATTAGTCATGTGTGGGTGGTGAGGGAGGATGGAAATCTGAAATATGAGAAGAAAAGTGAGAAGTATCTGCCTAACACACATGTGACCAGGCCTTGAGTGAACATGGGACTCTAGAGAACAAAGCCTTTAATCTTGGGTCCTGGATTTTGCCTGTCCAAAGTAATATGACACTTCACTGATGTAGAACTTCCCAGTGGGTCCTAAGATGCTGGGAGAAGCAAGTGCCTTACCTTCCCACCCAGAGCTACATCTTGGGAGAGGTGCTCGGCTGCCAAGATATGTCCATGAACCACATTCTCCACGAAGGTGAAGTCCACCAGGTTCTCCCCATTTCTGGAGGTAGATAAGAAACATTTCAGCTGTGCCCCACAAAGACATTTGAGAGACTAACCCACTTCTATCTTATCAGTGCCTGTCTCGGGCACACTTGTGTGATTGCAACCGATAATGAAATATGACTATGCAGAACTATCAGGCCCTTTGGGGCAGTGAGATATTGAAGGATCAACCAATGAATGGGTGACTGTGGTGTCCTGCATGCCCCGGCATGACCAGTACTACTGTGTATTCTTGACCTTTGATTTGAGGTACAGACCTTGAACACTTTCCAAGGAGACACCAGGCCAATGGTCTTCCAGTTTCTCTCACTGCCTCTGTAATCCCTCAAAGCCTTAGATCAGGGCATCAGTGAGATTTAATAAGTACAGGAAAATAATACATGGGGATAAAGAAGAAAAAAGAAATGTAAAAGGTACCAGGTACAGTGAGGGGTTCATGCCTTGAATCCCAGCACTTTAGAGAAATCACCCCTCACAATAGCCACAAACAACACAAAATATCTTGGGGTAACACTAACCAAAGAAGCAAAAGACCTATTTGACAAGACCTTTAACTCTTTGAAGAAAGAAATTGAAGAAGATACCAGAAAATGGAAATGATCTTCCATGTTTTTGGATAGGTATGATCAACATAATAAAAATGGCAATCCTACCAAAAGGAATCTATAAATTCAATGTAATCCCCATCAAAATCCCAACACAATTCTTCACAGAGCTTGAAAGAACAATAATCAACTTCATATGGAAAAACAAAAAACCCAGGATAGCCAAAACAATCCTGTACAATAAAGGAACTTCCAGAGGCATCACCATCCCTGACATCAAGCTCTATTACATAGCTACAGTAATGAAAACAGCTTGGTACTGGCATAAAATCAGAGAGGTTGACCAATGGAATAGAACTGAAGACCTGGATATTAATTCACACACCTACAAACACCTGATTTTTGACAAAAAGCTAAAATTATACAATGGAAAAAAGAAAGCATCTTCAACAAATGGTGCTGGTATAACTGGATGTCAACACGTGAATGAAAATAGACCCATATCTATTGCCATGCACAAAACTCAAGTCCAAATGGATTAAAGGCCTCAACATAAATCCGACCACAGTGAACCTGATAGAAGAGAAAGTGCGAAGTAGCCTTCAGTGCATGGGCACAGGAGACCACTTCCTAAATATAACCCCAGTAACACAGACACTGAGGGCAACAATATATAAATGGTACCTCCTGAAACTGAGAAGCTTCTGTAAAGCAAAGGACACAGTCAATAAGAAAAAAAGGCCACCTACTGAATGGGAGAAGATCTTCACCAACCCCACATCAGACAAAGGACTGATCTCCAAAATATATAAAGAACTCAAGAAATTAGTCATCAAACTACCAAATAATCCAATTAAAAAAATAGGGTATAGAACTAAACAGAGAATTATCAATAGAAGAATCTCAAATGGCTAAAAGACACTTCAGAAAATTTTCACCATCCTTAGGCATCAGGGAAATGCAAATCAAAACGACTCTGAGATACCATCCTATACCAGTCAGAATTGCTAAGATCAAAAGCACCAATGATAGCTTATGCTGGAGAGGATGAGGAGCAAAGGGAACACTCCTACAGTGCTGGTGGGAATGCAAACTTGTGCAACTACTTTGGAAATCAGTGTGGCGGTTTCTCAGAAAATTGGGAATCAACCTACCACTCTTGAGCTTATACCCAGAAGATGTTCAATTATACTACAAAGACATTTGTTCAACTATGTTCATAGCAGCATTATTTATAATAGCCAGAACCTGGAAATAACCTAGATGCCCCTCAACCAAAGAATGGATAAAGAAAATGTGGCACATCTACACATTGGAGTACTACTCAGCGGTAAAAAAACCAATGACATCTTGAAATTTGCATGCAAATGGATGGAACTAGAAAACACTATTCTGAGTGAGGTAATTCAGACCCAAAAAGATGAATATGGTATGAACTCACTCATAAGTGGATACTAACTATAAACAAAGGACATTGAGCCTATAGTTTGTGATCCTAGAGAAGTTAAGTAACAAGGCGAACCCTAAGAAAAACATATATAGATCCACCTGGAAAGTCAAAATAGACAAGATTGTCTGACAAAATTAGGAGTATGGGAGTGAGGAGAGAAGAGAGGAAGGAAGGGGAAGAGGAGGAGAGAAGGGAATGGAGGAGGAGAACTTGAGGGAACAGGATGGTCGAGATGGAGGAAGGACAGAGCAGAGAGCAAGGAAAGAGATAGCTTGATTTAGGAATTCAGTATGCGGTTAGCAAGACACCTGGCTTTAGAGAAATCCCCAGGAATCCACAAGGATGACCCCACCTAAGACCCTAAGCAATGGAGAAGGGGCCCGATCTTGACTTGCCCTGTAGTCAGACTGATGACTATCTTAAATATCACCATAGAACCTTCATCCAGCAACTGATGGAGACAGAGGCAGAGACCTACATCGGAGCACTGGACTGAGCCCCCAAAGTCCAGTTGAAGAGTGGGAGGAATGAGAATATGAATAAGGAGGTCAAGACCATGATGGGTTCACCCACTGAAACAGTCTACCTGAGCTAATGGGAGCTCACCAACTCCAGTTGGATTGGGAAGGAACAAGCATAGGACCAAACTCGTCCCTCTGAATGTGGGTGACAGTTGCATGGCTGGGGCAGACTGAGAGGCCACTGGCAGTGGCACCAGGATTTATCCTTACTGCTTGTACTGGCTTTTGGGGAATCCATTCTTTTTGGATGATACCTTGCTCAGCCTAGATATAGTAGGGAGGGCCTTGGACCTTCCCCAAAGCAATGTGCCTTACCTTCTCTGTGGAGTGAATGGGGGGTGGGGTGGAAGGGAGGTAAGTGGAGGGAGTGGGAGGAGGGGAGGGAGTGGGAACTTGGATTGATATATATAATGAAAAAAGATAGTTTGTTTTCTTTTCATAAATAAATAAATAAATATTTCAAACTAGGAAAAAAGAGAACTGTTTCTGAATGTTTGCGCTCCTCAATGTTCTTGTTAGAGCTCTATCCTCATGAATGGGATCAATGCCCTTATAGAAGAGGCTTGAGGGAGTTTATTTGTCCCTTGGGTCACATAAAGATACACAGCAGGTAAGAGGATTAGACGCTTAGCAGACACCAATTTTGCTGATAGCTGGTCTTGGACTCCTCTGTTGTGGAGCATTTGTTTATGCTATGGAACATTTGTTTAATGATGCAAAGATGTATTGCATTCTTTTATGATGCATTTGCTTAACCCTGTGAAGCTGTGATTTTTTTTGCCTGTCTAAAACACAGGAACTGAACAGCCAATAGCAAGGCAGCATGAAGGATACGTAGGGCTGGAAGGTAAAGAGAATAAATAGAAGGAGAAAAAGGGAGATCAAGGAGCAAGAGAAGGAGAGGAGGACACCACGAGCCAAGCATCCAGCTACACAGTGAGTCATGGAATAAGAGTGAAAGTAGGATATTGAGAAGAAAAAGAAAAAGCCCGCTGGGCAGTGGTGACACATGCCTTTAATCCCAGCACTCGGGAGGCAGAGACAGGTGGATCTCTGTGAGTTCAAGACCAGCCTGGTCAACAAGAGCTAGTTCCAGGACAGGCTCCAAAAAAAAAAAAAGAAAGAAAGAGAGAGAGAGAAAGAGAAAAAGCCCAGAGGCAAAAGTAGATGGGATAATTAGTTAAAAAAAGTTGGCTAGAAACAAGTCAAGCTAAGGCCGGACATTCATAAGAAAGAAAAATCTCTGTGCATGATTATTTGGGAGATGGGTAGTGGGCCCCTCAAAGAGCAAAGAACAGAGAGTCAAAGAGTAAAAATCAACCAATAACACTTTTAAGTCTCCAGATCTGTGAGTTACACGTTTGTGAAGTTATCTAAACTATAGCATTTTGTTACTGAAGCCTGAACAGACTCGGACTATTACATGATGCTTCTTGGCACTCTCAATTATTATCTGTGTGTGCTGCTTGTGTGCTCTCAGTCTGAAGGGAACAGAATGAACAATAGAAGCTGCCTTACCCAATCATGAACTTCATTTTGCCCTTTTTAGCCGCATCAATTAGGATAGGGACTAACTGGGGGTCCCTTGGACCAAAAATGCCATGAGGACGAATGGCTGTGGTTAAGAAATTCTTCTCAGGGTCGTTGGCATCCAGTACTGCCTGAAAGAAATCAAGAGAGAAAGGGTCCACTGTTAAGAATTCACCTGGGTTAAGATGGTACCTTACTATGTGTGGAGTACTGCCCATTAGGAGACAGATCAATGACATACTTGATGTATGTGCAGGTCATTGGATAGTTGTCTGCCTTGGCACAACATCTCACATTACAATTCTTATCCCATCTATTTCTGAAAATTCAACAATGAAGGAGAAAACTGGTTAATACCTGCTAGGATGAAATCAGAAAGCTCAGGTTGGGTTCAATGGCTATACACACATGCATCCAGAAGGTATATCTTGGCTTCAATTTATGGAAAAGGTTTGAGAGTTCTAGTTAATGAGGTAGACTTGAGCCTCCAGCAAGGCTACTACCAAACCAAAAGAGCTCCTGAATTCAGTGGCATGTACAAGGCTTCAAACATACTCATTTACCATGTAACGAACAGTTGGGTCAACAACAGACAGATATCTTGGGAGTTAGCTTGCAGCAGAGCACAAGGACATACGCATATAAAAACTATAGTCCTAGTCACTTTGAGCTAGTTTTCAATTGAGTATATGACAATCACAGCTTCCTGACCCCACTCCCCTCAAATGCTCCTAAGTATCTGTGGTGCTGAGGGGAATGGGCAAGCCTTTAGATGGTCTCTGACATGGTTATCTCTATGGAGTTTGAAAAGTTGCTAGACAAATCCCAAAGAAGACTTATTATGAAGAGGGTTTAGGGTGATGTTGATCTTGAAAACAAGGTAAGTTACTGCTGGAGTCTCCTCCAGTTTTTCTGACTTCTAGTTGAGTTCACGCCCAGTGACATATTTATTGATGGCTTGAGCTCAGGCTTCCATCTGGAGATCATGAGCCAACTGAACTGTGGGTTGGAAGCCTAGCACCTTAGGTGACAGTGTACAGGGCCTCTGAGTTAACTAGTGTTATCTGGAGGCCCATGGTAGGCTTTGGTCTCCCGTAAGCCTAGTTCCATGGAACAGGAGGGCATAGCCTGGGCATAGGACTTCTTAACTAGACGAGAACAGGCTCTGTTGTGGCTTCCACGTGATTGTGTCCTGTTTTGAGATGGAAGTGAGCTTCAGTTTACAAGTACTGGCCTGGAGAGCAAACCTCAGTGTGTAATGTGCTGGAAAGGCCTAGGAAACAAGTCTGCAGCTGCCCAAGTAACTGTAAGGGCCCAGGGCTGCCCCAGCCTGTAGTACAGGGCTTCCAGTGTACTGGCGACCTCAGTGCTCAGCCCACAATCACACCCTCTTTAATCAGTGTATTTTCCTGTAATCTGGTAAAAGTGCCTGTTGTATTAGATATTTTTGGAGTTTAAAGGAAGTAGTCCCCAGAAAATATTGAGAATAGTATTTGGCCACATTATATCATTCTGTCCTTTTGGATTTAATTCTGCACATGAATTTACATTTCATGTTGGGTACTTGGGCTTCAAAATACTAACTTTTCCATATTCACAGACATTTTTTTCTTATGAATGGAGACACTTGAAGTATCTGTTCATTTAATTGGCTTTAAAGTACATACTTTCTCCTGCAAGATCTTGGTCTCTGTGTAGTAGTCAATGGGCTTCATGGCGTAAGGGAGGTCCTCAGTTCCATTTTTTATGTCAGCACCTTCAAAGACGACACTAGCACTGCTGGTTAAAATCAGTTTCTGGTAGAGAAACATTTAAAGGAAAACAAAAGTCAGGAAGTTTTGTTCCTATTGCCTAAGTGCTATATATGAGTGAGCCCCATCCACAAGGCACTTCCAAGTAACTTGGCTGGAGTACATTTCTTTTTAAGTCTTCTAAGAAAACTCAAAGATCACCACCTTTGTAGCCATAGGGACTTTAGACTAGACACATTATGGTATTACAATTTAAAAGGAATGGATCTCATTTTTCCTATCCTATCATATCTGAGGGAGAAAACAAAACTAACACTATTCATGATAGTTCTCTATGGGAGAGCGCCTCCATGGAGGGAAGGATGGACTATCAACCAGTAGGGAAATTTCTGCCTGCAAAATTCCACTGGATACTCTGATACCAATCTTGCCATGTAAACATAAGCATATGCATATGCACATAACTTAAGTCATGCTTTGCTAGTAGAGACAAACATCTAGCATGTGTAAGGTTCAATTCACAGCAGCACTATAAAAGGAAGGAAGGGAAGGCAGGCAGGAAGGCAGGCAGGCAGGCTATATCTTGAAGGAGGATGCTCTCTTTTGCAGGTCCCCAGATTGCATCGTTCTGGTTAAGAGCAGTTCATCTGATACTGACATCATTGGCTCTGTTAGTTATATTTTTTTACTGCTTTTATTCTATATCATTCTATAAGTCCTAGCTGCAGTGGTAGAAGACAAACACCAATTTATAATGTTTTAAAAAAACAAGACACCGAGCTAATCTCATTGGCCCAGTGTTTCTTAACCTTCCTAATGCTGTGATCCTTTAATATATAGTTCCTCATGTTGTGGTGAACCCAACCATAAAATTATTTCATTGCTACTTCATAACTTTAATGTTGCTATTACTAATTGTAATGTAAACATGATATACAGGGTATCTAATATGTCATATATGTAAGATATGTCATTAATATATGTCATATATTAGATATCCTATATATCACATTTCTACATCTTTCAGTTATTTGATTCCCAAAGGGGTTGTGGCCCACATGTTGAGAACTACTGCAATAGTAGATGATAGAAATAAAAAGATATAATACATATCAAGTTGAGACAGGACCAAATCGCTCCCCCCTGCATCGAGGCTGAGCAAGGTATCCCTCCACAGTTGACTCCCCATGGGAAGCTTTACCCGTTCTGAGGAGTGGATGGGTGATTGGGTTGGGGGGAAGGTGAGGGAGGGAGAACTATTGTTGGTATGTAAAATGAAGAAAAAAACTTTTAAATAAAAAAAGATACAAAGCCTACATGGAGTGGGTAAGCCTACAGAAAATATTGAGAGTTCAGCAAACTAGCTAAATTCAAAATCAATATAAGGAAATTAGAAGCTGGAGAGATGGCTTAGTGGTTAAGAGTGTATAGTGCTCTTGAAGAAAACCCGAGTTGGGTTCCCAGCACCTATATTATATGACTCACAATCACCTGTAACTCCAGTTCCAAGGGGATTTGATGCCTTTGGTTTGGCCTCTGAAAGTCCTGTAAACTCTCTCTCTCTCTCTCTCTCTCTCTCTCTCACTCACACACACACACACACACACACACACACACACACACAAATAAATACCAAACAAACCCCCCTAAAACCACTATAAATCTATCTATATATCTATTTCTATACCTATCTATGAAAATTTGCCATATTCTTAAACATTAACAGTAACTGAAAATGTAGTATAAGTTGGTGATTAACAAATGATGGGGTCACAGGAATAAGTATAATAAAAGATGCATAAAACCTTTGTGAAGTACAGTACAATTATCACTGAGAGGCATTACAGATTGGGGGATGTTTCATATTCATAGATAGGAACAGTCAATGTTAGAAAGACATCAGATCTTTTTAAAATTACCCAGAACATAAATGCAATTGTAGTAACAATCCCAGGCAGATCCATCAAGGAACTTGACAAGCTGATTCTACAGCGAAGGGGAAAACTTGAACAAAAGGCTCAGAGTAGCTAAGGGATCTTGGAAGAAGTTGGTCAGATACTGATACGTAAGCTAAGGTAGAGCGTATACCCATGAGATCAGACAGAGGTCAGTGCAGTAGACAGAAAACCTAGGAACAAATTCAGGCAGAACAGGATGCCCAAAGTATGATGCAGGCAGGAAATATGTGCACAAAGTTTGGATTAAGCCATCAGCATGCTGAACTAATTATTTGGGAAAAAAAATCGATCTTGATCCTGTTGCATAAAATCATAGATTCCTCATTAATTAGATTTAAATATGGAAAGTAATACTTTAAATATTTGAGATAAAATGCATTAAAGACTTTTTTGGTTTTGGTGTTGGAAATCAATTTCTCTTTGGCCTTACACACTAAGCTATCTACCCCCTTAGAGGACAAACAAGATATATCTATCCCAAAATGCATAAAGTTTCAGAAAGACATGTTCAGCATAACATGATATTAGTGCTACAAAGTTATATAACATGCTGTTAGTGCATGGAATAGAAATAACAAGTGCAGGTTTAGAACCACTGTCCTACATGGGCGAAGAAGGGGCAGTGGCACTGAGGAAGGGGCATAGGTGGCTTCAGTCATGCTAGTAGTAAGCACTATGCCCACTGTATTGTTCTGCGCGTTCCATTTCACAGCAGCAGGGGGCTTCACAGAACTCCAGTTACATACACATCCTGGAGTGGAGAGTCTGGAACGTGGCAGCAGAGGGCCTGCTTTGAATCCCACCTCTTTTGTTTACTACCAGAGACCTGGCTACCTAAGGAAAAGAAAAGTAGGTAACAAATGCAGTAGGGCAAAGTTCTTGTCAAGTACCAAGTATAACTGAGTATTGGTTCTGATGGGTTTGGAATCACCTAGGAGATACACAGCTGGGCATGCCTGAAGGGTTTAGCTTATGGAAGGAAATTCGCCCTGAATGGGATCATGGGCTGAGGTCCTGAACAGGAAGGAAGGGAAGTTAATTGAATACTGTCATTCATTTCTCTCTACTTCCTGCTTACAGATGTAATGTGATTAGCCAATGGGAATTTTAACTGATGGGAATCCAGAAGAGCTCCCCTTTCACCTACTCATATTGGGCCCGTCGATTACTGGGAACTGGCCAAAGGTACCCAGGAAGATTACTGGGAGAAGAGCCCCTACTCTCTGTACCCTTTTCTCAGTTTCACAGTATTTGTGGCATGCAGCTCTGTGAGCAAATGAGCTGCTGTATGCAGAGTTTGGGGTTCTAGTAAGGTCCTTCTAGGAACCAGATCTTTAACAGTGTTGTAAGCTGATACAAGGCTAAAACTTGTATGCTTTTAGGCCCAAGTCAGGATAGGTTTCTATCAGATATAAGCAGCAGTGCCCCTCCTCCCTTTAAAATAAAAGCAGGTTGATAAACAATGAGATGAATTTTTAAAAAGGTTAAGCACAAAATTACTTATGATTGAGGAATCCCACCTCTGGGTAGCTACCCAAAAGAATCAAAAGTGAGGACTGAGGCAGGCATTTGTAGTCTTCATTCACCGAAGTATAAGTCACAGCATCCCAAAGGCAAAAGCAACACAAATGTCTACTGATGGATGAATAACTAAATAAAAAAAACCTTATATTTATTCTCTTTCATGTGCATGTAAGTGTGTGTAAGTATGGAGGTCAGAGGTCTTCCTCAGTCTCTCCACCCATAAATGGGGAGTATTAGTCTTGACAAATGAAAGAAATTCTGACATACTACAATGTAGATAAACCTTACAGACATTGTGATAAGTACAATAAGCACACCATGAAAGGATAAAACCTGTTTGAATGCACTCATAATAAGAGACAGAGAGTGGAGAATAGTGGCTGCAGGAGCCAGGGAGGGGTGGAAGACTGCAGAATTTCTGTCTACTACATGGATAGAGAAGACAGTGATAACGGTTAGATAACGAAGTAAATATAGCTAATATCACTGAATGCATACTTGAAAAAGGGTTACAGTGGTTACAAAGTATATTGAAAACATTATGTACATGTTGTTTCAACAGAGAAAACAAGCAACATCAAAATTTCATATCTCTTGAAGCAAAAACGAATAAGCCTTAGCCTATCTGAACACTCAGATGGTCTATCTGTATTGGAAGAGTATAACCTCACCTGGCCCTCTGTGACATCAACTGGTGCCCAGGACTGAAATTTTATTATCTTCCTAACATGAAAGAGGCAACCCTGGATGAGCCCAGGAAGAGGGTTAACAGGAATGACTCCACTTCCCTCCCTCTGAGAAAGCAAGCCCATGCTCCAGATACTAGTCACTGCAGCATTTCCCTTACCTGAACCCCAGCCTCTTTGCAGGTTTCAATGACATTCTTGGTGCCAATGAAATTCACTCTATAAAAGAGTTCCTTGTTGTTACCGGATGGTGGGGGTGACGCACAGTGGAAAACTGTGCTTACACCTTTCAGAGCTGGGTACAGGTCCTGGAAAAGCACACAAGACAAAAGAATCATTCCAGCTTAGGGCAGGTCAACAGCCTTCTCTGTCATCTGTAGCCTGTAGGTCTTTTGGAATTTTATAATTCTGTAAGCAACACAGAAACATATGCTTTGTAAAAGACTCAAACTACACAGGAACATTTGGGATAAAACCATGTTTTCTTTGAATTGCCCCTTTAGTTACCTTGTCCTGCATAAAAAGGGAGTATGAGAAGTCAGATACCGCAGTGACCGGAAGAGGCATACAGTGAGTCAGTTTCACTTACTAGAAGGAACCTTGTAAGACAAACAGGTGCCTGTAGATCTGGGGTGTAAACACATTAAACGAACCAGGAAGGCCTTCTTTGATCATATTGTGAAGTAAAGAGGCTCTCCAAGCTTGCTGGAGGCTTAAAAGACTTAAGAACCAACACACAGAGACTCCTACTGGCCAATGATGAGGCTATTTGCTCAGTAGTTAGAATAAGAGTGGTTAGTGAAAGTGGAGAATAGAGAATAATTGATTAACTCTTGAGCAAAAAAGATCTGAGGGGCTAAATGAACAGAATGACAAAATGCCACCATTGTGTCAAATCTCCACAAAGTAGTGGTCTTTAGGGATAATTCATGGCTATCACCAAAAGAAAGAAAAATCACTAGATGTCATAAAATCCTTTGTCACTATACAAAAACATAATAGTTCTGGGAAACTATTTGAGAGTAAGGAGTCACCTTCAAGGCATGTATACTTTTGCCTAAATAACTATCAAGTGATGAACAGCAGGCACACTCCAACACATAGGATATTCTTTTCAAAATTAAATTTTATACTGTTGCCTTTTCCATCTCCCTCTCAAAGAGGCAGCTTCTCTCTCTCTCTCTTTCTCTCTCTCTCTCCTCTCTTCCTCTCTCGCTCTCTGCTCTTCTCTTTTCCTCTTCTCCCTTACCCCTCCACAACCCACTAAATAAATATCCAAATAAATATTCAACCTCACTCTGAAAAAAAATATTGTTGTGTGTGTGTGCGCACACACATGTGTGGAGACCAGAAGACAATGTTAGATGTCTTCCCCATTTTCTTGAGACAGGGTCTCACTATGTAAGCACTCTGGCTGGCCTGGAACTTACTATGTAGAGCAGGCTGCCCTCAAACTCACGAGATCTGTCTGTCTCCAGTTTCCACATTTTAAAAGACATCTTGTAGTTTCAGGAGGCTGACTAGCCAACAAACTCCTGAAATTTACTCATCTCCACTTCTCTAATACTTGACTTGCATGCCTGCATGACCATGCATAGCTTAGGAGATTTGAACTCTTGCTTTAATAGCAAGTGCTTTTACTCACTGAGCTATCTCCTTATCTCCCAGCTTCTCTTACGTTAGTTATTCCATATTTAGGCCTCCCTAACCATTCTGACAATATCCTTTATACGTGTTTTTATTTGGGGGTTTAGGGTTCAAATGTGGACCACTCATATGTGAACCTTGATTCCTTTTTATTTCTGTTAATCTGGAGCAATCCCCTGAGTTTTGTTTTCTGCCTTTTTTAACACTGGAATATTTCACAGGACCAGGGAGGTTAATTTATTGACTTCTGCTCAATTTATATTTGTTTGTTCATACACGATTACACTCAATTAATAGTTTTGGCAATTACCAGATTCCCTTTATGGTTTTGTCTAACTTGTGCAAGTGGCTAACAGAATTCAGGTAAGCACATTTACTGACTTGCTATACAGGAAGTACAAAGGATACCGGTAAAGAGATGCACAGGATGAGGTATAAATGAGTGGTGTGGAGCTTCCACACCCACCCTGGGTGCACCAGCCTCCAGTCTCACGACATAAGCGAAACTGAAGCATAGAAATAAGGAAAGTGAATACGGAAGCCCGGCAAGGCCTGTCAGGTCAGATTCTTCTTGGCTGCTCTGTGTAGCATTCCTTCCTCCTAGATATGGAGATGGATTCCTTCTGACACTGGGTGGGGAAAAGAACATAAGACTCATCTTTAGAAAGATGAATTGTAGTTCCTATAGCTTGCATTAGAGAAGAAACTGTGAACTAGGAAATGCGGATGAATATCTAATATCTCTGCTATATCCTTTCTCTCTTCTCTCTCATATGTGTGTATACATGCATAGAGGTTTGTAGCTGTGATGCACCAGGATGGGGGGACCTGAACCACACCAAGTCTTTAGTTCTACAGAAATAAATGAAATCGGATGTGGTGCTCCATATGTGCAATCCCAGCATTTGGGAGCTGGAAGCAGAAGGATTGGTGTGAATAGGAAGCCAGTATGCTCAACATAGTATCAAAGTCTAAATTTTATAGCACATAGACATAATCAATGTAAAGCTATTAAGATATTTATTGGTTTTGTACTCAGTGTTCGAAGTTCAACATGTATTTTAAAGTGTCTTTCAGTGCAAACTAGTCTTGACTGAAGTGCTAGATGGACATATGTGCCCAGTGCCTGCCTCACTGGACAGTGCACCCTAGATCTACCAGTTCACAGGAAACAGCAGGTGGCACAGAGACATGTGATGTCCTGAAGATGCAATTAGCAACATCCAGACTCTAGGAAATGCTACTTGATGCTGAATAAGCTAAGCACCACTAAGTCAACACACATACTACAGCATCTTGGGAACTAAGAGACTGATACATTTTAATCAAATAGTCTCCTGTGTTTAACTCTTTATTTGAAAAAAACAAATACAGACATCTTATGAAGTAGTTAATGAATGACTGACATTAAAGAGCTGCTTTATTATTATTATTATTATTATTATTATTATTATTAATGGTGCCTCTGAGATAAACAATTATGTAATGCTTTCCATAAAGATGAGATTTATGTTTTAGAGATAAAAACTGAAATGTTTACACATGGACTGATAGATATGTTGAAGATTGGCTTCAAAGTAACTGGGGGCAGGGAGATGGACACACCGAGAAGATGGCAGCAAACTGCTTGATGTGCAAGTATAAGGGTCTGAGTTGGAGCCCTAGGATCCATGTTAATAAAAAAAACAGTAACACAACAACAAACCAAATCAACCAAAACCAAAACCAAACAACATCTGGTTGCTTGGAATGCAGAACCAGGACCTAAATAGAGTGCATTGAAAGGAGGTCCTGCGGCTGGCAGCACTGGGAGGATGAGACAAAGGATCATTTTTAAATGTTCCCCTGCCATGTTCTTACCTGCATCATGTCCACCTTTCTTTCCTTAGCTCAGAATTCAGAACCCACTGTTGGAGCTTTGCCTTATTCCTCTGACCCTTTATCCCATTTGTCTTGACAAATGCCTGCTCTGGTCCAATGCACCTTGTCCCCAGTCCCTGCCTGCACCAGAGACACTGAGTGTAACTAGAGAATCAGATACAGGTCTGGGCAGACATTTAGCAGTGCTGGGGCTACAACCTGAAGGAGAATTTGCATCAAAAATTAGCTAGCTCAGACAAAAGGACAATATCCTTGAAACTCTTGGTGAAGAAATCCCTAAGAACAAAGCAGGTTTCTCTAAGGGGGGGGGTTCTAATCAGGACACTGTGTCACTTCTCCCCAAGGTTCCTGCTTGTCCCACTAACTTTGCACTCCCCCACAACCACATAAACTCCTTCTTGGAATTCAATCTCAGTCTTTCTCTCCTTCTTGCCCTGTGCACAGCCCCACTCGTGCCCACTGGGGACTGTCTCTCTGGAGAACCATGGATGACATGTTATGTGAAGAGAATGGGGCAGGCAGGTGAAAATTATGCAAGACAACAAAGGGGCTATGGAGCCAAAGCTGGTGAGGAAACAGTAAAGAGAGTGACAGTAGAAACGACCACAGTTGCTCCTGCTGCAGTACTAGAGGGCAGGACCAGGAAGAGGTAAAACAGTGCCCAACATGCTGTGTCTGCCATGGAGAGAATGGACTTATTGGGGAGGACAGGTCTGGGCTAGGGAATGACAATGGGAGTAGGAGTAAAGCATTAACTGCAAAGGAAAAGAGACAAAACCAGCAAGGCTATCTTCTTAAGCATCCAATTCAACAAGAGTACCAGAAATACTGATGGGGCCATCATCAGCAAGGAGCTGAAACCATTGTGGAAGAGTCACTTGTGAAAGAGAAGAAATGATTATGGATGGCTGCCATAAACAGACCAATAGCTTTGCTCAGCAACTTTGCAAAACCTACAAATATTCAAAAAAGCTGGCCACCTATGAACTTTGCAGAACAGAGAAAATGGAACAACTGAAGTGGATGAGCAGGGCTGGGATGAGAGTGGGAAGTGAACAGGTGTAAGATTTCCTTTGGAAGTGAACATGTTCTGGAAGTCAATAATGGCGAATGATTGCACAGTTCGGAAGAGCTGCTGGAAAGTGTACATTTCAAAATGTGAATTCTGGGGCTGGAGAAGTGGCTTAGCAGTAAGGAGCGTGCATTGCTCTTTCAGGGGATGTGAGCTGAGTCCCAGTGCCCACATCAGATGCTCACAACCACCTGTAAGTCGCACTCTGATGTGGATGGACTCTACCTCTGGCCTCTGCAGACACCTGTACTCACATGCACACACCAACACAGACAGACATACATGCATAACTAAACATAATAAAATCATTTTTTAAAAAAATATGAATTTTATGGCATGTGAACTATATCTCAGTTAAAAGGAACAAATACCATATGGCCTAGCATCTACACACTCTAAGGCAGCAGCTGGCATGTTGAAACTCGCAATATGTTTGATGAAATGTTTTGGTGTGCTTGCTTGGCACACAGCCTTGTCTGTTCACTGGACTATGGTTCATGGCTGCTTTCATGCTCCTATGACACAATAAAGCCCCCGTGACACAGACAACAATCATTCATTCTGAATACTGATTACACGGTATATGAAACTATTTCCTCTAACTTTCACATTTTTCAAAATATATATATTTTTCAAACTATTGTTTTCTTGGACTTTGAGCACTTGGTTTTGCCTTTGGGGGTCCTACAGGAGATTAGTGAAGTAGAGTGGGCCCCTTACCTGTTGGCTGCAGAGATCGCCTATAAAGAACTGCACCTGGGGATTATCAAACCCTTGGCGGATATCGAATACATTGACAGCATAGCCTCGTGCCAGCAACTGCTCCACCATGTGCTGCCCCAGGAACCCAGAGCCTCCAATCACCGTGCACTTCTTGGCCTGGGGAAAGAAGAAACAGCGAGAGGACCAGAAGTGTGAAGACTAACATGACAAAGGTCAGGCTTACGTGCCAGGAGCCATTGCAATGGCATATACATTTGTCTGTCTGAAACTGCCTGAGCTCAGGGAAAAGCTTAGTATAGCTGTGTCTGATCAACAGTGTCACCTCTTTTCCTGGGTTTAACAAGGAGGAGAGAGAAAACAAATGACACTTGGCTAGACTGGTAGATTTGATGACATAATCCACACTTTATATTTAGTGGAAGGGAATTAAAATTCCTATGATCACACCAGACAATCGAAACAAGCAAAAAGCCAAAGGCTGTGCCTTCTTGTTCCTGACTGGTAATCCCTTGCTAGAAAAAAAAATCTAGCCATTTCAGAGTTTCTAATGAAAGCATCCGTTTCCAAACTCACAGGACAGTGATTTTCTCTGCCTCCATGCCCATAAGGAGGGTGGATCTTGTGGCTCTGGGCTGACCACTTAACTCTTTCTGGCCTCAGCCCATGTATTAAGGGCTACGCTGCTAGGATCTCCACGTAAAACCAGGGAACCGTTTATTACTCAGATCCAGGGCTTTGTTGTGCCTTCTCTGAACTAAGAGGAATGGATGAATCAACATTGGGATGTGGTATTTAGATTCCAGCCTCCACAGTGCATCCAATTTCTTGGCTAAACTCAAACGCTGGGAAGTGGGGTAATGGAAGGATAGTATACCACCTGTAGGTGGTAAGTATTAGAACTCCAGTATGTCAATGCAAATGTTCGCTGGCATCTGCTCAATAATCTGGAGTTCTGTATCAGTAACTTTTTCTCACTGCTGTAAGAAAGTGTCTGTAAAATGCAACATAAGGAAAGAAGGATTTATTTTGGCTCATGGTTTAAGGGATACAGGCCACCATGGTGATAAGACATGACAGCAGGAGAGGCAGGTGGCCACACTGCATTTCTGGTCAGAAGAGAGGAAGGTACACACAGACACAGACACAGACACACATGCATGCACACACAGACACACGCATGCACACTGGCGCTCGACTGACTTTTTCCTATCACCTTTTTACTCAGTCTGGGATTCTAGCACATGGGATGCTGTCAGCAACATTTAGGGCAGGTCTTCCCTCATCAGTTATACATATCTGGAAACAATCTCACAGACACCCTCAGAGGCATGTCTCCTAGGCAACTACAAATCTAGTTCTGTTGATAAAAAAGATTACCCACCACACTACCACTGTCCCTAAGCTGTACCTGGGCTTCCCTAAGATGAGAGACCCAATTTTCTTAGCTTGTATGGAGTCAGTCAGTGTTGGCTATGTGAATAGTCAAGATCAAAAAGAACTTCTGTTCCTTTTTATAATATAAAGCAACCAACCTGCCCTCTTTTAAATAATCTTAAAATGATTTATCTTTATTTTACATGTATGGGTATATACTGCCTGCATGTATGCTTGTGCATTGTATGCAAGCAATGCCTGTGAAGGCCACAAGAGGGCGTCAAATCCTGTGAACTGGAGTTACAGGTGGTTGTCAGCCACTACGTGGATGCTGGGAAATGAACCTGGATCTGGAAGAGCATCAGTTGCTCTTAACCAGTCCACCAACCTTCCCTCTTGTATCTTAAACATTAACATAACTAAGCTATGTGACATAGTCAGGACTTGTCAGAGCCAGGTACCATCTGCAGATTTCTCTCTTACTGTGAGTGTCCATTCTGAAATGGCTCTCATATCTGTAGACATGATCAGCCTCATCACTGCCCATCAACTGCCTCTCTGGTAATCTCTCCCTCCCATCTATTTCTACCTCAGTTTCACAGGCAAATTGTGTGCACTTAGAACCACTGATTTTTTTGTGTGTTTGTTTTGTTTTGTTTTTCGAGACAGGGTTTCTCTGTGGCTTTTTTTGGAGCCTGTCCTGGAACTAGCTCTTGTAGATCAGACTGGCCTCAAACTCACGGAGATCCATCTGCCTATGCTTCCCAAGTGCTGGGATTAAAGGCATGCGCCACCACCACCCGGCGAACCACTGATTTTTCTGGCCAGTCCTCAGAGCTCCCTGCTGATGCTCTCTAGCACCTCTAGGCTCAGAGTCCAATTGTTTTACAAAAAATCAATTTAGGGACTGTTGTGATGGCTTAGTGGTTAAGAGAGTTTGCTATGCAAAGATACGATACGTTCAAATCCCCAGCACCAGTGTGAAAAATCAGGCATGGTCGTACATGCCAGCAACCCCAGATTTAAAGGACAGGTGGATTCTGAGAACTTGCTGACCAGCCATATTAGGCAAAACGACAACCTTCAAGTTTACAGAGTACAGTAGTTTAAATAAGAATGTCCCCCATAATCTTGGCATTTGAATACCTTGTTCCCAGTTGGATGATGTGTGGACAGACTTATGAAATATGGTCTTGCTGAAAATATGTCACGAGGGGTGGGCTTTAAAGTTTTAAAGTCTCCTGTCATTCCCAGTACTCTCTCTTGGCTTCATGTTTACAGTTCAAAATGTGAGTGTTCAGTGTGCTGCTCCAGCCACCACATCTGCCTACTGCCAAGCCTCCCTGCAATGATGGTGATGGACCCTTCTCTCTCTGGAATCATATACCCAAATAAACCCTTTATTCTATGAGTTGCCTATGTCATGGCATTTTATCACAGCAACAGAAAAATAATTATTATGGCAAGAGACTGTCTGAAAGAAATAGGCGGAGAGCAATAAAGATACTCAGTGTCAGCAGAGCAGTGGTGGCACACACCTAAATCCCAGCACTAGAGAGGCAGAGGCAGGCAGATCTCTGTGTGATGTGGAATTCCCCTCTGTATGCTGTGAATACCATTGGTTAGTAAAGAAACTGGCTTGGTCTGATAGGGTAGAACAGAGTTAGGCGGGAAGAACTAAACTTAGTACTAGGAGAAGGAAGGGAGAGTCAAGGGAGAAGTCATGGAGCTGCCACTGGAGACAGACACTCTGGAACTTTGCTGGAAGGCCACGACCTTGTCGTGATGCACAGCATTAATGGAAATGAGTTAAATTAAGATGTAAAAGCTAGCCAATAAGAAGTTAAAGCTAGCTGGGCAGTGGTGGTGCACGCCTTTAATCCTAGCACTTGGGAGGCAGAGGTAGGCAGATCTCTGTGAGTTCGAGGCCAGCCTGGTCTACAGACTGAGTTCCAGGACAGGCTCCAAAGCTACAGAGAAACCCTGTCTTGAAAAAAAAAAAAGAAGTTAAAGCTAATAGGCCAAGCAGTGATTTAATTCAGTTTCTGTGTGATTTTTTTCGGGAGTCCGGGTGGCCGGGAAACAAACAAGCTACCTTACTCACTTGCATAAACCACACAAGTATAGGCATGTGTATATACACACATGTATAGACACACACACACACACACACACTATTAACAAACCCTCATAATTTTGTATTTGTTTATGTATTTAAGCATTTATTTATTTATTTAAACAGGGTCTCTCTAAGTATCCTTGGCTGTCCTGGAATTCCTTATGTAGACCAGGCTGGCCTTAAACCTATAGAGATCTATTTGCTTCTGCCTCCCAAATCCTGGGATTAAAGGTATATGTCATCATGCCTAGCTCTCATTTCCAGATTTTAAATGTGACTAATCAGAAAATCTATTCGTGAACAGGATGACATGGATTCCCTCCTTATACTGACATATTACACTGATATTGTTCCTGGGACAACTGAGCTAACAGCTAGTCAATAGACTAGTGATGGGAATCAAACTTGCCTCTGTTCAGAGATGTCAAACATGCAAAAGTTAATGTCTTTAATCATATGTCTAAGGCTATGTGAGGAGGCCATGTAAAATAATCATTAACTTTTTGTGACCATAGCAGACAAAAAAGAGAGTAAGTGCTGATAAAAATGAACTTTCAGATCGGAAACAAGCACCTAGAACGGACCAAATGGATAAATAGTCCTCTTGGAGATGATAGTGTTAGGAACAGGGAGGAGTGAACTTGGAGTGGGTGTATAGCTCAGTGATGGAGCATATCTCTTAGGCTATGTCTCATTTCTAGCACCACAAAATAATTTAATTAAACTGTAATATAATCTCAAGAGCATGGCTGGGGCCCCTGGGTTTTCTCCAATATTTTTGGTTTTACTTTTTCTTCAGTAGGATAATGTATGTTTTTTTTTCAGAGCAGTCCTACGTAGAATAAACATGTAAGACAAAAGTATTCTTCCTTAGTAGCTTATATTTAGACACTTATTTATTTGAAAGTCACTCCATGGAAAAAAAGAGCTCATTCCAAAGCATTAAAGAAGGTTCAAGAACCAGGTGGTAGTTGTGCACACCTTTAGTCCCAGTACTTGGGAGGCAGAGGCAGATGGATCTCTGGGAGTTCAAGGACAGTTTGGTCTAAATGAAGGAAAGAAAAAAAAGAAAGAAAAGAACAAAAGAAGTGTGATGTTTATCAGGAGTGAAGTACATCACAGTAAGCTTGAAGACCTGGCCTATGTAAAAAATCTCCAGAAGGTTTGACAATGATTAGGCAAAAATTCCTTCAAATCTCTGAGACTCAAGACACTAGATCTTAGGGGTTACTGCCACCACCTGGGAGGACTTCTTCCATTCCACTAGGAAGTCTAGGTAAAGCAGTATGTCTAGCTGACAGCCAACATTTACTACCATCACACACATGAGTCCATTTGGGAACATGCAGCCCAGAGGAGCCCGCATTGTTGCAGCTACAAGAACAATCCCAGGAAAGACCAGTGTAAAATGTCCCAACTGGGCCCAGAATCATGAGCAAAGATGTTATTACTTTAAAAAAATCACTATTATATTATTTTGTGTGTCTAAGTGTTTTGCCTGCATGCATGTCTGTGCATCATGTTCATTGGGTGCCCTCGGAAGGCAGAAGGGGGGTGCCCTGGGACTGGAGTTACAGATGCTTGAGTCATCATGTGGGTGCTGGGGTCTGCACCTGGTTCCTCTGCAAGAACAGCTGGTGCTCTTAACCACTGAGCCATCATTCCAGCTTCAATTATTGCTTTTTAAAACCTCTGCTTTCTGATTTTTTTGTTATATATCAGTAAGTAACCGTCATATCTTAAATCAAGGTATATAATATACAAAACATAACCAACCAGCACTGACTGAACAAATGGATTAAGTACATTTTAAAATGCATAGGTAACATCAATGGCTTGACTTTCTCCTACTTCATTGTTTTTTTTCTTTTTCTTTTTCTAGACAGGGTTTCTCTGTTTAACAGCCCTGGCTGTCCTGTAACTCACTAAGTAGACCATGCTGGCTTCAAACTCAAGAGATTTACTTGCCTTTGCCTCCCGAGTGCTGGAATTAAAGGCATGCACCACAACAGCCTGGGCTCCCCTACTTTTTTAAAGTACTTACTTTGGAAATGTCTATCGTCGAACGTGTCTCTTTTGATTCACCAACTGCTTGTTCCATTATGGCTCACACTATAGTCTTGTTTGCAAAAATCAACTCTTCTTCCTAAAGACATAATTAGAGAAAGACATTAACAGTAAGTGAAGCAAAGCATCTCCAGCTATTATCACAGAGTGTTCATAAATAGCTGAGCCATAGCTATACCCACTGCCCAAAGTACCCTGTGCTAAAGTGTGCTCTCTCAGGGTATGGTAGGCCCTAAAATTTACAGAGCACTGGATTAAAAGGCAGGACAGGAAGCCAGATAAATATGACTCCTTCACTACTCAAACCACTCTTTGGGTTGTGGTTGGAGAATGGTGGTGACCAAGCATTTCACAATGGGAGACAGGAGTAACCAAATACAATGATGCTACCAAACAGAAAAGTGTGGCCCATGTGAAGGCCTCATCATATACTCCCCTCTTCTTTCACCCACAATATCAACTTGCAAACACAAGGTATTTACTGATGCAATACGTGTAAATGGCAAAATGTACCAGAAATAAGAGTCTATCCATGAAAGAAGATGCAGAGAATGCCAATGGGGAAAGAAACGTCAGACAATCAGCACTGACTGGGTCTTGTGATGGTTCCAATCCAATTTCCACACTTTCAAATGGTGGGTGCCATCATACATCCCCAGAGGACTTGATTTTATGACTGTACTGACTTTATAAGCATATCAAAGAGCCAAATATCCTTGAAATGGATATTACAATGTTTGATGGGTCATTTATAGAGAGGTTTTACAAACTCATAATGGAAGTTATTAGTTGCCATTATTAATTTTGTCAAACTGACAGGATTTAGAACCACCTCTACGAAGACTTCTAGGCCTTCGTGTGAGGACATTTCCAGAGAAGTTGAACTGAGGTGCGAAGACCTACACTGAATGAGGGTGGCACTTTCCGTGGACTGGGATCCTGGACTAAATAAAAATGTGAAAGCAATGGAGATGTGGCTCAGTGCTCAAGAGTACCAGCTGCTCTTGCGGAAGAACTGTGCTTGGTTCCCAGCACCCACATGGTGGCTTACAACTGTCCTTAACGCTAGTGCTTTGGGATCTGACACCCTATTCTGTCCTGTTAGCACTAGGTATATGCACAACATATATGTACGTGTACACACTTATATACACACATATACATTCATATATATACATACACACACAAAATGCAGGCACTACACTTATACACATAAAATAGAATTTAAAAATCTTAATTCTTTTTAATTTAAAAAAGTAAGAAAGTGAGTTGAGCATCAGCATCTGTTCCTCTCTGCTTCCTGACTGCAGACGCAATGTGACCTGCCACCTTGCACTCCTGACATCATGACTGCCTCACCATGATGGACTGTATTCTCATACCATACTAAACCTCTGCCTTCCATAGGCTGCTTTCCCCAGGTATTTTCTCACAGCAACAAGAAAAATAACTAATGCATCACTTCAGTATATTTCAGAACTTGCCTTCTCCTGGGTCTCTGTGCATATATCTAATGACTATGGATAGATAACCGGGAGCTCTGTGCTTACCCCATACCTCTCTTTATTGTACACTTATAGGGACCTGACATCTACGCACCTCAAACAGACGTGGCTGTGACTAGACTCATATGGCTCTACATAAGTAAGACAGAAGAAGTTGCTCAAGTTGCTCGAGTTGCAAGATGAGGGCACAAATTGATCAGTGGAGTTAGTGGGCATCCAAGCCTCAGACACAGTTACGCCTCATCATCACTCCCCTCAGGCTTAGCACCCTGTACAGGACCAGATCAGATCTGATGACGCAATGAGAAGAGAAGGACTCCCGCAATGCTAGCATTTACTCACCCAATGGATATGTTATCTTGAGAAAATACTGCAAAGCAGAGGTCCTGTCTTAAAAAAAAAAAAAAGAGGCCTCTCCCTACAGAATTCAAAGACATGGAACAGGGTGAAAGCTCTTAGGAGGGCATTTGTTTCCAGAAGTTTCAGGTGAGCCATTATTTCCCTGGGGGCATCCAAATGGACTCTGTCTTTACACAGGTCACATATCCCTCACTTCCTCATGTCGCTTGATTACTTTTCAGTCACAGAAGGAACCCAGCTTTGAATTTGCAACGGACCACCCAGCAGTCCCTCACCACATCCAAGCCGAGCTTCTACTGCTCCTTTCCTATCTTCTTTCTGTGCCTTTCTGTGCCTATCTCCGTCTGTAGATGTGTGAGTTCTCCCTTATCCTTCAAGGTCGGTCTCAACTGCTCACTGTGAGCCCTGCTTCTACTTCCTCAGCATCTGTTCTCAATGCTCTCCTCTTGGGTTCAAGCAACATCTATTAAATTACCTGTTGCTGTTGTTTTCGGGGCTGCACTTGGGAATAGTCGTCTTCTTGCCTACCTCAGATTGCTATGGAGCTCAAAGTAGCCCACAGGCCTGAGTGTCACAAATTATCAAGCACCAGCCACTGTTAGGTAGAAACCAGTGAAAACACAGTTCATGACTTCAAAGAAACCATCAATTTGTGTGAAAAACAAAAAGCTTCAAAGAATGACAAAGCTATGTTTGGGTCCTAAGGAGGACAAGTGGACAGAACCAATGTAGGCTGCTTAGTCACATGAAGTAACCTGATAGAAGAAGCAAGAGACTGTTCACCTTTTAGCAGTCAGGAAGCAAGAGAGGTAAGAACCCCACAATCCATTTCCAGGCCATGGCCCTAATGCCCTAACAGCTTCCCAGCAGATCCCATTTTGTACAGGTTCCACTACCTTCCAATAGCAACATGGGTGGGGACCAAGTCCTCAATATAGGGACTTTTGAGGAATATTTAAGAATCACTTTTTGCAAAGAGTATGGAGGGACATGAAGTCAAGAAGGTTAGTGGAGGTAAAACTGTGTAGGAGGCTTCAATGGGCTTTATTCTTTAAACTGAAGTTTATAAGCAGGGGACTGACCCGACCAGAGCTGTTCACAGCAAGATTAACCTGGTGGAGCATGTGTGTATGTTGGTAGAAGGATATATAGGTAAATTATGGGAAATTAAGAAACTATTTACCAACTTGCTGATAGACTAAGTTTCACTGAATACCTAACACATATTCCTCCCTGCTCAAGGTACTGGAGTTCCAGCAGTGAACAAAAATGTTCAATTTACAGTGGCTTATGAGGTGACAAGTGCTACCATAAAAAATAGAGCAAGATGAGGGGCTTGTATACAAAATGAGTAAGGCGCTTAGAGTACTTCAATGAGAAGGTGACAAGGGCTGAAGAACTGGATTGGGGAGAGATGCAGGGCCAGGTGAAGAGGAAGTTCGGTGAAGGATGGGAGGTGCGCGGCTCTGAAAGGAGTAGACAGTGATATGATCAAAGTATATTGCCAAGCTGGGCGCAAAGGAGCACGCCTTTAATCCCAGCACTGAGGAGGTAGAGGCAGGTGATCTCTGTGAGTTCGAGGTCAGCATGCTCTACAGAGCGAGTTCCAGGACAGTCAGAGCTACATATACACATATGTGACAAAAATCCTCAAAGAATTACTTAAAATATCATATTTTTTTAAAAGTTCATGACACTGGGTACGGTCAATGCAGTAGAGTGTATCAGCCATAAAACCAGCACTGGGTATGATGGGAGGAGTTGCATGCCAGGCATTGCATGCTTTGGTGAGAACTCCAGTTCATACTGCTAAGAAAGGATTAAGGTTACGGAGAGAAAAAAGGACACCTCAAGGACAGACCTGAGAGAATCTGGGGGTGGACATGGGGGATTCCTGCTGGAGGGAACAGAGGAGGCAAATTGGACACAAAATTTCTGAATCTGGTTCATGGCACCAAGTTAACAGGCAAAGGGCCTACATTACCACTACAGAGAAAGTCTCTGGCCTTTCTCAGTTTGAGAGACTGAGCCATGTTCTCAATGCCCCTAAACACTCTATGCCTTGAGGGGAAGCAGCTGTGCCAGTTGAGGCACTGCTGTAGTCAATACTGGATCTCCATTAGTCCCAGCACAGTTCCAGGGATGCACACATTCCTCTTTATTCCCTACGTACGCCAACATTTTCAAAATTTCTGCAACTTTGCTTTCAAGAGAGTCTCATCCAGCAATGCTCCTTCCCATGTGACTTGAATGTCTGCGCGGCTATCGGGGCACATTTTGATAACTTTTCTAAAGCCAGAAAGTGCCCAGATCATCATCCTGAGAGCTAAAGTGGTTTTTGTGGAGCTAAATTCACAGAGCCTCGCCCAGATTCAGTTTCTGAGCCCCAGCCCCGTGCACCGCTGACACAACGCTTGGCATGCCCACTCCCCTTTGTAGGCCTCAGCTGCCCCATTCAGTCACTCCTCCAACCCGTTATTCCAAATCTTTCCTGGCCCCTCTGATGCTGAATCCCCAACTCAGGTTTTAGAACGTCCCACCCATCCTCCCGCACTCCCGCCCAGCTCTGTCGCCCACATGCAGTGGCCTCCAAGGACAAGGCCACAACTCTTACCCGGTTTAAACACTCTTGGGGTCGACTTAAGCTTGCTAGCAACCTGCCACCAGCGAACTTCAACCCAATACCACTCACCCTTTTCTAGGGAGAGGTATGAGCCCACGATCAGCCGAGCTTCCTTCTCCATGTTGATTGGCTGCGCTGGGCTCCGGCGCAACCAATTGACGCTCGCAGCGGGATTTTGCCCAATGAGGCCAGTCCTTGTCGCCGCCACACTGCCCTTTAACCTTGGGGCGGGCCTTGCCAGGTTAGTGCCACCCGCTTCGTCGGCAAACCAATGGAAAGCGGGCTGCGCGCGCGCGCGGAGCGGTGGGAAAGGCGCGGAGGCCGCTAGTACGCCGTTGCCTTAACAACCGGTTGCGGAGGCGTCCATTCGGCGATGGTAAGTGCTGGACGTTTGATGGACCCTGCGCGGCGCCCCCGAGCCCTTCCTAGGCCTTTTTGCGGCCCTGAGCCTTTCCTGCAGGGTACTTCGCGTTGACGCACTAGTTCTTTCTTGGAGCTCTTTGCCGGAAGGGTAGGAGAGAAAGTACAGCCGCGGGCAGTTAGCCTGTTTGCGCTTAACCTCTGCTCCCTCCCCGCCTCCAATCACCTTCAGCTTTCCCTAACCTGCCTTCCGGCCTCCGCTGGTTTTCCTGGAACTGCAGGTGATCATTCTGTCGCAAGAAACGCTCAGGCTTCCCGCAGACTCTGACCTCGGTCAGACTCAGGCCTCCTGGCCGCTGCCGTCTGGCTAAAGTTTATGCGTGGTGGTAAGAGGTTTACTATGTTCTGATGGTTGCAAACGTATTGAAGCTTCCAGGAGATGCTTTGAGCTTCGCATACAAGGCACGCAAGTGCCAAATGGATTGGTTTGTATCACTTTGTACTGGCATAATATTTATCTCAGTAACTTTTACATTTGGACAAATTTAGGCATAATTAATGGGAGGAGCACAGTTCGTGGGAACTAGCCCCACAAGTAGATGTTTTAAGTACATTTTTAGAATTGAGATCCCCGGATTCAGGGACAGATGATATCTGTTAGATATCCATAATTGGTTTCTCAGCTAGTTCTCGTTCACGAAAGGGATTTCCTGGCTTCTAAAAGCAATAGTTAAAAAAAGAGACTTTCATGGAAAGATTAATTGTTCTTTCCAGCAAACTTTGTTCTCTCTCAATTTATTAGGCAGATTTTAAGAATAGGTTGGTGTAAACTGTTTTTCCATTCATTAACAGCTATCTGGGTTAGCAGTGGGATTAAAACACGAAGGGACCGTTTTCATCTTTGGTAATGAAAACTGAAGCCACACCGTGTTGCTTTAATTGAATATACAATATGGAAACTTGTGACAGTCTATTCATAATAAAATGATAAGCGTGTTCCTGACAAACAGGTATGGTCTCACATTTGCTGTTTTTTAGCTTTGGAAAAGAAGGAGAAAATTCAAGCATGTCGAACCTTTAGGTAAAACAATACATTCATTCAAAGAGTTTTTTTTTCAAAGAGTTTTTAATGTTGCTTCTTTATATTGGAAAATTTTTGATTTAAGAAATATTGTGGTAGAAGACAATCATATTTAATTAGAGTATTGCTGATTTTCTATTTTTACAATGTGGTGGCAAAAGCTAAAATATATTTATTAAAACAGTTTTAAATTGAGAAAGTTTTTTCACAGAGAATTTTTTTTTAGAGTTGGAGTTAATTTTAGTTTAGTTTTTACACTTTTTTATGTGGGGGGGAAAGGGGAGTATGACTTAGCTTGAGCATGGAGGTCAGAGAACAACCTGGAAGAGTTGTTTCATTCCCACTATGGGGGTCCTGGGTTCCCACTTAGGTTGTCTAGCTTGACCGGAAGACATCTCACCAGCTTATGAAAGTTTGTATAATGTCATCCTCATCCGTACATTATTCAGAATGGAACAGAAATGGAAAAGATGTATGTCTAGACCTGTCATAAATAAAATATGGACTTGTAATATACTGCTTCTGTGTTTGTATAATGTTTGAAGGCCTCTGATTTTAAGAAGGCAAACATGGCATCCAGTAGTCAGAGAAAAAGAATGAGCCCTAAGCCTGAACTGACTGAAGAACAGAAACAGGAAATCCGGGAAGCTTTTGATCTCTTTGATGCTGATGGAACTGGAACTATAGACGTCAAGGAACTAAAGGCAAGCTGCACAAATACCTGCTTTGCCACCTTCTCTTTCCCTGTTGCTTCTCTTTTACTTGTCACTTTTCTCCCTTCTCCTTATAAAAAGTAATGGAAAAAAGGTACCTGAAACAATGATCTAATTGGTAAAGTTGATTGCAAATATAAATTAAATCAGCATTACAGTGTTACCTAATCACTTTTCATCATTTTATTGGGTGCAAGGTTAGTATTCTCAACAATCAGTTTTGCTTCTACATCACTTGAATGTATTTATTTAGATGATACTGTTTTCACTGTAGGTTGCAATGAGGGCCCTGGGCTTTGAACCCAAGAAAGAAGAAATCAAGAAGATGATAAGTGAAATTGATAAGGAGGGGACAGGAAAAATGAACTTTAGTGACTTTTTGACAGTGATGACTCAGAAAATGGTAAGTTAGTTGAGATAATGCACATATTTTCCATCCATAATGGTAGATATATAGGATTATAAGTATAAATAGAATATTCAATAAAATCTATACCATTCACATGGCTGAGGATTTTATTTTTAATTAATTAACTAATTTCATATATCAACCATAGTTTCTCCTTCCTCTTCTCTTTCTGTTCCATCCCCTACTTCCCCCATCCTCTCCTCTGTGTCCATTCAGAAGTGGGAGGATTGTATTTTTAATTAGAGGATCCCTAAGTTTCATTTGGCTTTCTTTATGGTTACAGAATTACAGAAATCATTTTAGCTTGTCTCATATGATAATCACAAACAGTAAAATCTGTTAACAGAGATTTTCAAATGCTTCTCATTTTTATTTTTTATTTTAATGGTATTAAAAATTAAATTAGCATACAATAAATCAGGTATTATGGCATTTTCAGACAAATGCTTCTCATTTGAACAATTCAGTAGATACAATCAGAGGCACAAGAATTTTGAGTTTTAGAAATGATAGGGTGTTTTGGTACTTCTAAGGTTGCTTTCATCCATCCCTAGTTTCTCAGATCCTTTAGCAGTCCAAAGATTTGAGAGGACATGAACATGTCACCGGAACCAGACCAGCTTTACTCTTTCAATGGCCTCCTGGCTTGTTGGTGTGTCATGATCACCTTCTTTTAGTATACCTGGAGAAAGGTAACCCCTTTCAGGTTCCTCAAAGTGTTTCCCAGGGTACAGGCTATACCTCTTTAATCTAAGAGTTGTGTTGCTTTGAAATCACCATACCTACATTGTGTGTATATGTGTGTGTGTGTGTGTGTGTGTGTGTGTGTGTGTGTGTGTACTGATTTAAGAATTTAGGAAGTTTGGTATTCTGCAAACATCTAGCAAGTCTAATTCATACTCAAGATTAGCTCCTAGATTGCTCTTCCTAGGGATTCTCTCCAGTTGTAACTCTTGGCAAGAAACTTCCTGAAATATTCTGTTGGAGCACTCAGAGCCCCAGTAATTCTTTATAGTCCATTGTGCAAAATGCCTCTCTCTTTCTCTACCCTTATCAGTGTATCTCTGTCTTCTATTAGTATAAGCAGTGTATTTTCTTTAAATTATAACCCTACTCACTGCTTCTGGATTTTACAAATGAATCTAGAATATCCTTGGTTTGTACAGTGTTTTAGATACAATTACATTTCCTTTGCAACCCTTGAGTTTATGTTAAGTTTACTGATTTTTCTCTTCCTTTTCTACAATGGGTCATCCTTGTTTTTTTTTGTGCCTGAGGGCATATATCACAGTGGCTATTACCACTGTGATGATGTGGAATGGGGCCAGGGAATTAATCTACAACTCCCCCCTTGGCTTTAGAACTGGGAAAAGTTCTGAACAAGACAAAGCACAAGAGGGGCAATCAGTATCAATCCCTAGTAATACCTAGCACTGGGTATTGGAAAGTTGAGCCCCAGCTCACTTCAGAAGCCCTAGTCTTCCACCTGTGAAAACTGTCCAGCTGCACCACGAATCTGTCCTCTCTAAATGACTCATTGGCCCCTCAAACCAGTCCTTATGCACATTTTGCAGGACTTCTTGGATTTTCAACCGAGGTGGCATCTTTTCCTACTGAATTCTGAGCTGATTATGAAATAGATGATGGGCTAGAAAGTTGACAGGGAGTACATTCTACCGTGACCAGAGAGTCTGGCTTCCTGGCTCCTAGCATGGCTCAAGTCAGGTTATTGGAGACAAAAGGATGACCAAGAAGTGGCAGGGCTGCAGTATATGAGTAACTATGTGCTTTATGTTCTACTAAAGTCCGAGAAAGACACCAAAGAAGAAATCCTGAAAGCTTTCAAGCTCTTCGATGATGATGAAACTGGGAAAATATCATTCAAAAATCTGAAGCGTGTGGCCAAGGAGTTAGGCGAGAACTTGACGGATGAGGAGCTGCAGGTGAGTAACGCCTTGGTCTCTCTGGAGCCTGCTGGCTTTCCCAGGTTCTATTTTCTCTACTAGGACAACTTGGAAGGGAAGCTAGTATCCTTTATGCTTCTGTTGATAATTTAATGCCCATGGACCCTGCTTCTGGAATACACATGTGCAGTTGAACTTACTCTTTTGGGTTTCAGACTAGAGTAAATTTCTAGCTCCTTTTCAAGGGATGCATTTGACAGTATGTGTGTGGCATGCTCCCATTAGATAGACCATAGTCATCTTTCCTCACAGCATTATTTGAAATTTTTTATCTAATCACTTTTCAGTTTAGTTTGTGACTTGTTCTAAGATGAACCCTTACTGCCATACAGGAAATGATTGATGAAGCTGATCGAGATGGAGATGGCGAGGTCAATGAGCAAGAGTTCCTGCGCATCATGAAGAAGACCAGTCTCTATTAAGATCAGTGCTTCTTTTTCTACTGCAAGCACATGTGACTAGATTTAGTGCCTGCCATTTTGTGAAATATGGCTTTTGAGAATCCCCCTCCCCCAACCTCTGGGGCAACTAGCCGTGACCTTGAATCTATTTTTGACTTTTGGAAGTTTCTTTGATATTAAG